CAAAATAGAGGAAGATTGGCACAGACGTTAGCTCAGCAACAATCTTCCTCAAGCAAAAAGAGGAAGATTGGCAACAGATGTTAGCTCAGTGCCAATCTTCTTCACCAAAAAAAAAAAACCATTTAATTTTTCTTAAATATTCTATGTTTTCAAAAGAAAGCATGCAGTACTGTACAAAGTTATTAAAATTAATCTTCTTTTGATGTTAAGCTTTAATTTTATAAATTTTCCTAATAAGATGCACAAATTGCTAACTTTAAGTCTCAAACTGATGGTGTCAAGGTGTCTCTGGGGGATCTGAGCATGTAGAAAATAATTAAGCTGTATATCTAAACATTAAGAAAAATAGATATAGGACTTTTCATGGTCCTAAAAAGTAAGACAATTCTTGGAAAACTGGTTAATTTAAATACAACAAATGCCTTTCCCTAGAGCTAGTGGAGTCCTACTGCCAACTGCACTGAGTGTTCACCTGGGTCTCTCCCCTCTGGCCGGTCAGAACTCAACATCTCCCAGCCCTGTGGCAGCTCTGGCAATTGTTCAGATGACAGCTCCTCGGTGGTGGTTCTTTGGCATCGCACTCTGCGCATGCACAGCTAGGTGTTCAGCGAAGACTTAAGGGCAGCCCCATGCAGATTTCTGGACCACTTTGCATAGTTCTCTCCTCTCCAATGTTCTGCCCTGCCGACAAGCTCCAGTTGCCTCTGCCTCTCCAAATTTCAATCTTAGTCTCTTCAGCATGGAGCCCTCCCCACTCTGCCTGGGTTCTGGAAAGTGCCTCCAGACAGAAAGCCAGGGCAATCATAGGACTGACCTTATTTGTGATTGCTCTCGGGGACCACAGGTCTTTGTTGCCTGTTGTCCAATATCTGAAAACAGCCGTTTCCTAGCTTTTGTTTGGTTTTCTAGTTGTTTAAGGCAGGAGAGCCACTCTGGTACCAGTGACCCCATACGGCCAGAGTCAGAAGTCCTCAAACAAATTTTTGAAGTTAGAGCCCTCATTTCCTAAAAGAGATTGCTCATATTCTGGATTAGAAATTTGGTGAGTGTGGGACTGACACATAATCCTCTTTGTGTCTCTTATAAAGCCTGTGAGAGTTACAGAGCAAAATCGAGGGATCATTTATTTAACAAATAATTATTGAGTGCCTACTCTAAGCCAGGTTTTCATCTGGCCCTGGGGATACAGTAGAGAACAAGACATCAAAGTCCCTGCTTTGTGATGAAAATTGGTAGTGGCCTAGAAGGTACAGTTTAAGAGATAAAGTCCTGCTAGTCACCAAAGCATCTTGCCACTCCACCTGCCATGACATCACCTTTCCTTCCTATTTGCTTTAAAGTCCCCACGTTTAGGATTGATTCTACAAATCTTTTTCCAATACCTACTAAGTGCTGTGCACTGTGCTAGATGCTGAAGATGAGCCAATGATGAGCAAAGTGCTACCTCTGCCATCAGGTACTTAACACTGGTGGAGGAGATGAGGCGTGTGTAAAAACAATTCATAAAGGCAACTCCCCAGAGCCACGTGTCTCCCCAAGAGCATTAGTTTACAAGATAAACTGACTCCTGGAGGCACAGAGTCTCTGCAATCCTCCTCTGTCAGGCCTAGGAACTGACCTGGCTCGTGGATTCCACAGGACGGACATCGAACCGGGAGCTTCTCACCCAAGGCAAGGAGGCCCTCGAAAAGCAAGGGCATGAGGAGGACCCAAGCAAAGGCACCAACGAAGCCAGAACCAGGGAGAGAAGCCAGCGTGTGAGCCTGCTAGGGAGATCAGCTTGTAGAACACGCAGGACGGGAAAAATAGAGCAGGGTCTCAGGCAATTGTCTAGAACTTCTGCTCCTATTCAGGACTGCTTTTATAACCTGGTTGGCATATAACCACCCAGCCATCTGGTGGGTGGGTGGCTGCATTTCAGAAACCAGAACGTGACTAGAAACCAAAGGGATGAAGTGAGTTGGCTGAGGATGTGGAAGAGAAGGGAGCTGAGCCCAACGGAGCAAGTTACAAGGCCCTGCCTGGGAAGGGTAGGCATCTGATAGAGGCAAATGGCCTGAGGATCATGATAAATGATAGGAGGAGAGTACCCAAAGGGCAAGCTCCAAGAATAAGGGAAGCACTGAGAGGTTTTTTCTACTTCATAGTTTTGCCTGGAGCCCATCTTGGGAGGGGCAGCGGGAAATCACTGCTTTCTTGATTTCTAAGCCCATATAATTACCTGCCGCTGGACTTCTGATTGGAAGTCCCCCCATTACCTCAAAACTCAATATGTATGCAACTGACTTCTTCACTGTCTCCCTCGAAGACTGTTCCTCCTCCATATGTTCCCTTCTCTGGGAGAATCAGCAACATTCACCCTGCTGCCTGAAACAGAAACCTGGGCTCACCCGTGACTTCTTCTCTCTCTTGCCTGGTATTTAACCGATCACTGATATCTGTCAGTCTGACCCCTCCTCTTCACCCACTCAATAGGAAGCTCCATGTTGAGGGGCCTTGTCTGCCTTGTGCTCTGCTATCTCCCCCATGTAATTGGTGTTGAAGAGATAGTTACCGAATGAGTGAATGAATGAATGAATAGATCCTCACTGCTACTACCTTGGTTTAGGCTCTCATCTTTTCAGGTGAACTGCTATGATAGTCTAACCCAATCCAAGGACAGCAAGCAACAAACCCTCCAATCCACTGACCACAACTCCGCCAAAGGGATCTTTCTAAAATACACTTAATTCTTGTTATTCATAGTAGTTATGTTCCATGAAGTTGCCACAAACACTGAATTAGCGAATACTGAACCCTTGCTTCCAGGGAAAACCAAGGATTAGGTTCATGAGAGACTCTGGTCATAACATTTTCATCAACTAATCAGTACATAACCTTGTTTTATGTGTGTTTCTGTTTAAAGACACCTTATTTAATATATGCTGCTGATTCACTAACATCGAACTCACAGCCAACAGCACTGCAGCTCATGTGTGAATGAAGCTCATCTAACATGTATTTTCTCTGTGAGGCATATCACAGCCTTCTTGCACTTGGGAACACTAGACCGCACTTCAGCACTAAGCTTGGGGGTCATTTTAAACAATGAAATTACCAACAAAAAGCACAAAAATACAAAAAACGTAGCACTAAATAGACCACAAAAAGGGCACTTGTCTACAGTATGAGAGCTGAAACAAGAAGGCAGAGCATCGCCTTGTTCGCCTGCAGCTGGTAGCGTGCGAGGGGAGACTCAAATTTTTCACCTCTCTGTCCATGTCCACAAATGACCATGAAAGGTACCCAAGTATTGATTTTGAGATTACAAATAAATTTTAGCAAGTAGTGAATTCACAAATCCAGAACCCATGAATTAGGACGGATTGTAAAATTCGATCATGTCACGCCCCTGCCTGAACCTTCAGTGCCTCACCACTGCCCCCAGGAAACTGAGCTCCGTCTACCCCAACTTCAGTTGTAGGACTAATTATGTATACTTAACTTCTGAGGTTACGTGCTGGTCTCCTAGGCTTCTTTTTTTTTTTTTTTTCCTAGAAGACCCTCATCAGTAGAGAGGGCTTCTTCTTTTTTTTTTTTTTTTGTGAGGAAAATCAGCCCTGAGCTAACATCCATGCTAATCCTCCTCTTTTTGCTGAGGAAGACCAGCTCTGAGCTAACATCTATTGCCAATCCTCCTCCTTTTTTTCCCCCCTTTTTTTCCCCCAAAGCCCCAGTAGATAGTTGCATGTCATAGTTCCACATCCTTCTAGTTGCTGTACGTGGCCTCAGCATGGCCGGAGAAGTGGTGCATCAGTACACGCTCGGGATCCGAACCCGGGCCGCCAGTAGCGGAGCATGCGCGCTTAACCGCTAAGCCACCAGGCCTGCCCCTTCTAGGCTTCTTGAGGGGAGGAACTGTTTGTTTGTTTCTATTCCTATCACATAACACAGTGGCTGGCACATGGTAGAGGTTTAACAAATAGTAAATTTAAAAAAATAAGTGAAGGAACCAATAAAGTGAAAAAAAAATGAATAATGGTTGATCTCAGGATATCTAGGATAGATGACAGGTAAGCCATTACTTTAAAAAATTATTGCTAATAAATTTGCCTGGAGTGAGTGCATGAATCCTATCCATTTAACTGGTTAATTAAACTTTGGTACTAAACTTCTCTCCAGAAGAATGAAAAAGGAAGTAACCTATTTGCTGGACCACATCACTATTTGTTGTTCAGTTTGGTTAATTTGCAGAGCTGAATAATTTGCAGAGCTGAAGCACATTTCACTTTCACTCTGCTTCGTGGAACACTGATGACTTTGTCTAAATTAATTCTGTCTGATGCTCCCGATTCTATTTACATTGCAATTCCCCTTTGCTCTTTGTGTGGATTCCCGGCCAATGTGTGCTGAGAGCTTTCAGTCTTCCTCCACTTTCCGTCCAGTGAATTTTAACTCCAGTGCCAAGTGGGGAAACTCCATAATTTCTAGTTTCAGTTAAGCTGTTATCTGAACAGGATTTGCAAATAGTGTTCCAACCAAAAGATTCTTGGAAACGCTGGCTATTATTAAGGGGACTTTTGAATGGCTTGTTTCAACTTGAATCTTGTCAACTGAACGGCTTTTATTGTGTGTGACAGTCCCAGTGACCACTGTAGTAGTTCTCTCAACTCTCATTTATTTGGGATAAAAAAGAAAGCATGCATAGATAGTCTCTGAGGATAATTCTCAGATCTCTACAATCAGTCATCAAGTACTATGTTTTTTAAACAAAATATCTCTCTTGTACCTCCTCTCCTCTCTGTCCTCACAGCCAGGCCCTTGGTCTAGGGGCCAGCTTTAATTCCTGCGTGGACTAAAACATTAGCTTCTTCATTGTTCTGTCCCTCTTTAGTGTGTCAGCTCCTCCTCCTCCCCACTGCATCCATTCTGTACCTCTGCCATGCTTATATTCTAAAACACAGATGTCACTCTCTCCCTTTCTCTGCCATTGTAGTGTGTGCAGTAGACTCTTCTTTGCCATGTCTTCTCATAGGATTTTCACAATCATGCGATTCCTGGCCAAGAAACAAAAGCAGAATCATCCCATTCCCCAATGGATTCAGATGAAAACTGGTAATAAAATCAGATACAACTCCAAGAGGAGACATTGGAGAAGAACCAAGCTGGGTCTATAAGGAATTGCACATGAGATGGCACACATGTTGATGCTGTATCAAGATCACTGGCATCTTACCATATCATGCTGAAAACCTTGCCACCACTCTCTGGACATGTCTCTGGTTGGACATGTTTTATTGGGAAAATGATTCTTCTCTTTGTTTCTATGCTTCCACTTGTAGCTTAGTTCAGTAATAAATACATGAGATCTTTTGTTTGGAAAAAAAAAAACCTACAGATTTCATCGTTCCTGCACTAAAAATATCTATGCTTCCTCTCTGCTGAGAGCAAGTCTGAGAGCCATAGCCTAGACTTGATGGCTAGTGACCCCACCTAGTCTCTGCAGGGTCCCTCAGCTTTAAGTACCTGTTTTATTCAGACTAGCATCCTTATTCTTGCTCACAAGCCCACTGCCATTTCCATGGTGTCTGCTCATGTTGGTCCCTGGCCTAGAGAGCTTGTCTCTTCAACTCCTTAAAAGCCCAGAGAAGTCCAATTCCCTCTCCAAGGGCTTTCTCTATTGGTGGTCCCCTTTTGTGAAGGTCTGTAGTCTGTAGCACTCTATTTTGGTACTTAAATTATTCAATAAGGCTTTTTATTGTTTTTAACCCTTTCGTATATATTTTTTTTAATTTTTTTTTTTCTTGAGGAAGACCGGCTCTGAGCTAACATCTATTGCCAATCCTCCTCCTTTTTTTATTTCCCCCCCAAAGTCACAGTAGATAGTTGTACGTCATAGTTGCATGTCCTTCTAGTTGCTGTATGTGGGACGTGGCCTCAGCATGGCCGGAGAAGCGGTGTGTCGGTGCGCACCCGGGATCCGAACCCGGGCCACCAGTAGCGGAGCGCGCGCACTTAACCGCTAAGCCATGGGGCCAGCCCAACCCTTTTGTATATTTATATCTGAATTGTAAGCCCTCGGGGGGTGGGAGGAATCCAGGACTTAATTTAGGCCAGAACTGTCCCAATAGAAATGTAATGTGAGCCATAAATGCAAGCTTCATATGTAATTATACATTTTCTAGTAGCCACATAAAAAAAAATAAACAGGTGAAATTAATTTAATTTTTTTGCTGAGGAAGATTAGCCCTGAGCTAACATCTGTGCCAATTTTCCTCTATTTTTTTGTATGTGGGTTGCCGCCACAGCATGGCTGATAAGTGGTGTAGGTCTGCGCCCAGGATCTGAACCCATGAACCCAGGCCACTGGAGCAGAGTTAGACAACCTAACCACTAAGCCACAGGCCGGGCCCAGGTGAAATTAATTTTAATGATATATTTTATTTAACCAAATATATACAAAGTATGATTATTTCAACATGCAATCAACATAAATAACTGTTAATGAGATATCTTACATTCTTTATTTCATATTAAGTCTTTGGAACCCAGTGTGTATTTTCTGCCCACAGCACATCTCAATTTGGACTAGCCACACATCAAGTGCTCAGTGGCCCTTTAGAGCTAGTGGCTATCATATCAGACAGCTCAGTTTCAGGCACTCTTAGCCCTTGATATCCCCCCCAGTTGAATGACAGCATAATGTACACAAAGAATGTGAGTCAACAGATTGTCGTCACGCTGGAGGAGGGTCTCAGGCACAAGTTTCGGTTCTTGATCTCTGTTTATCATTTTCACTGATGGCTTGGATACTGCAGTGGTGAAGAACACCCACTCTGCAATGTGCATATAGTTAACAATACTGTACTGTACACTTAAACATTTGTTCAGAGAGTGGATTTCATGTTGTGTGGTTTTTTTACCACAATTAAAAAAAAAAAAAAGAATACTCGCTCTGAGTCACAGAGACCTTAATTTTAAATCTTAGCTCTACCACTAACTACATATGTGAATGTGAGCAAGTTAATTTTCTTTTCTTAACTTTGCTTTCATCATCCATAAATGGGAATAATTACACCAACCTCAAAGGGGTGTTATGAAGAGTAAATGAGATACTGCCTGTAAAATGGTTACCCCAGTACACAGAACATATTAAGCCCTTAAAAATAATAGGTTTTACCACTATTATTTTCACCATAAGTGGTAAATTTATTAATTTGGCAGATGCGATAATTCTGAGAAAGATAGGTACAGTATTAAGTTAAAGAATCAAGATTCAAAAAGCTTTTTCCAGATAGGACTCAATAGATTGAATAAAACAAGATGAAATTTAATATAGATAAATTAAAGTATTGCATTTAGGTTAAAAATATCCAACTACACAAAAATAAGCTTTCAGCTTAACTGTAGCTCATACAAAAAGAGTCATTTAATTATTCATTGACCAAATATAGTTAAGAATAAGATTATAATTGTACTTTTCACTTTATTACATATTTAATGTAAAATGGAAATACAGTCGGCTCTCCACCAATCCGTGGATGTGAAACCCGCAGATACGGAAGGCAGACTCTATTCTTTGCACAATGTCATTTTATATAAGGGACTTGAGCACCCTCGGATTTTGGAATCTGCCGGGGTTCCCGGAACCAATCCCCTGCAGGTATTGAGGGATGACTGTAGTACAAAAGGATATAAAGTAAAAGGTTAAAACTCCCCCTCTCAGAACTTCCCTTTCCCACTCCCTGGAAATAAAGAGCCACTTTCTTACATGCCCTTCCAGAAATATCCTATGCCTAAATAAACATAATTTGTTTGTCCTTTTTAAATCTTAACACTTATGGGGACAGACTGTTATTTTCTTGTGCAACTTACTTGAAAAGGGGTTAAAACTAAAGTTGGATTAAAGTTCAATATTATTAAGTATAATGTGTCAACTCCAAACTTTAATTTGATTTTAAGCTTCAAAATAAGTAGGCTAACAGTAAAACGGAGGAAACAGTTCAATGCTATTTAGAACTTATCAAACACATCTGGAATTTTTCACTTACATATGGACACTACCTTTTAAGAAAAATACTGACACACTGCACGTGCCTAGAGGAGAGTGACTCCTCTAGGGCACTAAGGGGGCAAAGTAATTCAAAACCATTTCTTCACAGAAGACCAGCTGCAGGACTTAAGGATGCTTAACTGAAGAAGGGATATCTCAGAGGAATGTGCTGGCTATTTATACAGGAGGAAAAACAGCAATTCAAATGACCTCAGGGAGCAGTGCTAACCAGGGATCTAATAGCTGGGAGGCATATTTTGACTAAGTAAGGACTTTTGTGGAGAAAAGTGAGATAATGCATGTAAGGGCTTTTTAAGTTAGAAGCTGGCCACGGAGGAAAATTATTCCTAAAAACTAGAAAGGTCTGAAATTTGAATGTCAGGCTTCACCAAGTGTCACCTCCCCAATCATTTCAGATGTTCAAGAAGAGGTTGGTATCCCATTAACAAAAATAATTACCATGTTCTTAAAAGGATTTCATTCATTATCTTAGAGTAATGAGGTATTTGAGCCTGGCTCATTGCCTGGCCCAAAGTAGACTAAAGTGGAAGGAAGGAAGGGAGGGAGAAATGAATGATATTAATCCAAGCATTTTTCCCTCCTCTTTACGCTTTTTCCCCCACCAGCTTGCCCATCTATTTCAGTCTCCTCTTACCCGGATTTTTCACATACACTACTCCAATTCTCTACTCCACTTTCCCATCTCCTCTTCCACTAGATTTGATTACTGCTGAAAACCTGTGTCTTCCTTCTTCTCATCTCTGGAAGGGCATGTTATTGTCTAGTTAAGCCTCCTTGGCTAGGGGCTTCATCTTGATCTTAGAAAATCAAGCTTGTGGCAGAGTCTTCCCAAATGTTTTATTTATTTATTTATTTTTTTGTGAGGAAGATCAGCCCTGAGCTAACAACCAAGCCAATCCTCCTCTTTTTGCTGAGGAAGACCAGCCCTGAGCTAACATCTATTGCCAATCCTCCTCCTTTTTTTTTTTTCCTTTCTTTTTTCTCCCCAAAGCCCCAGTAGATAGTTGTATATTATAGTTGCACATCCTGCTAGTTGCTGTATGTGGGACGCCGCCTCAGCATGGCTGGACAAGCGGTGGGTTGGTACGCGCCCAGGATCCGAACCCAGGCCGCCAGTAGCAGAGCACGCGCACTTAACCGCTAAGCCACAGGGCCGGCCCCTTCCCAAATGTTTTAACTCATTTACTGCATCTTCTAGGTTTCTGCACTCTCTTTTGCCTTTTTTCTTTACTTCAAAGGGCTAGTGAGTGAAAGCGTTTCTAGATACTGGTTGAAGGGGCCCTCTCTCTTGTGATCTCTTCCCTTGTAAATGTCCCAACCACCACTTCTAAGTGCAGACTCTGTCCGGCCTTTACACAACCAAACAGTTACCTGGATTCTGCCTCTGCCATCTCCCCAGGAAGAAGACAGTGGCCGGCAGCCAAGTCCCGTTGCTTATGAGCTGAGCAGACTTGGATGAATCAACTATCTTTGATGAGCCCCTTATTCCTCCTTCGTCAGATGGAACTCTGAGTAACACTCACCTCCGGGAGGTTGTGTGAGCCAAATGAGAAAAATCTATGAGAGAGTGCTCTGTGAAGTATCATTGCTGGTTATTTCTCTTTCCTAAATCTTGCTTTCTGCCACCTAATTCAGGCCTTCATTTTCTCTCCATTCAAAGATGCTTTAGCCTCTCAAATACTCTCCTTGCCTCTACTTTCTGCCTCCACCCCAACCTACTGGACATGCAAGTGCCAGAATGATCTTTCTAAAGCTCAGACTGTGTTGCTTTAAAATGCTCAGTAGCTTCCCATTGCCTAAGAAACAGAGTCCAAACTTCATAGCACGCAATTTGAAACCCTCCCTAGTCTGATGACAAAGCCACTGTTCCAGCCTCTCTGCGCCTTGCCTCCCAAATGCAACCATCTTCCCACTAACTAGGACTCTTCCCATCCCCCCCTGGGCTGGTTTCACTTACTCAAAGTCTACTTACCCTTCGAGCCCAAATTAAGTGAACACGTTTCTGTTATGCCTTTTCCAAACCCCACGAGAAATCCTTCCCTGCTGGAGCTCAGTGTTTGACTCTACTTCTGTTACGATGTGATCTCTCCTGATGGACTGTAAGTGACTTGAAGTCACGGATTGAACCTCCTCCATCTTTATGTTCATCATAGAGCTGAGCACTGTGGTTTACACATAGTAGGTACTCAACAAGTTACATCTAATGATACATTCTTTTTTAAAAAATATTTTTATATCAGGGCTGGCCCCATGGCGTAGTGGCTAAGTCTGACGTGCTCTGCTTTGGTGGCCTGGGTTTGTGAGTTCAGAGCCTGAGCGCGTAGCTACACCACTCGTCAGCCATGCTGTGGCAGGTGACCCACATGAAAAATAGAGGAAGATTGGCACAGATGTTAGCTCAGGGCTAATCTTCCTCAAGAAAAAAGAAAAGAGGAAGATTGGCAACAGACGTTAGCTCAGGGCAAATCTCCCTCACCAAAAAAAAAAAAATTTATATCACTAGGTGCCTAGCATTGTGCTAGCAGCTATAGCAGCTACAAAAAAGCCTTGTTCTTGTCCCTGACTAAATAAACTTAAATATTGTTGAGGTGACAGAGCAACAATTAAAAAACTATATAAAAGAATCTATGATTACATGCTAAATTCTTAGTCCCGTTTGTGTGTATGCACAATTGCATATAAAGATCTTAAAAAGGCTTTGTGCACACTTTTTAATTTACAACTTGTTTTAGAAATGATAGAAACATGAGGAATTACATCTTGACATAAATACGTTTGCTAAAATTTAGGCCAAATACATTGCACAATCGCTCTCAAAGTATTCTAATTTTAGGTCCTGCAACAAGTGAAAAATGACTACTGTGGACAGGAGGATAAACTTCTCTATGGTTAGCAGAATTTAAGGTCATCAGCTTTAAAAAGAAAGCTCAATCAGACTTCTAATGTGTTTTTCAGGTTCTTTCTATTCTATCAACAATCTAAGTTATTAAACTTTTTTTAAAAAAACACAAAAAGACTTCGACATTCTAGGAAGCACACACCAAGTGGGTAGGGATTAGAGCTGAGGATGAAGAAGTGGCTGGATTAGTGGAAGGATAGGATGGAGGGAGATGAGAATGCTTCTCAGTGAGTCCTTGCAGTTTCACAATGAGTTCACAGTGCACTTCTGGAGGAAGACTGGGAAATCCAGCTTCAGGTCCACCGAGTGTCACCACATGTCGGCGAATTTGAGGTCTGTGCCCCAAGGCCTGGGTTCCTGACCTTGCCCTACAAAGTCTAAGAAGAGGTGTGGGTTAATGAATAGAGCACTGGATTAGAAGTCTGTACTTTCTGAGTTCCAAGAGCCCACGAACAACAAAACAAAACAAAAGAGAAAAGAAAAAAAAGACTGATTTAGCTGCACAGGAGATAGCTGGGCCTCATTCTGGTTTGAGCTCAGAATATTGGTGTTTCAGACTTGAATTAAAGCAAATACATTTTTTCAGAAGTAATTTATTACTTCATTCCTGCTATAATCATGAAGCTTAAAAGGTACCTTATGTTAGCCTTTGAATAAGCAGGCACTGACTGACATTCCCCATGGGTGTCAAAATATTTGGTGGGTTCTTGCATAATTATGTTTCAGGGTTATACAAATATAGTCTTAATCAGTACCTCAGAAATTTCTGTTCACAGTGGAATGTTATTTGTTGATATAAAGGGGACTATTTCAATATGTTCACTTCATTGCGTATATACCAGAACACAGAGCCTACCTTTAAAATTGTGAGGTTGGCCTCATCTAAGCCCTCATGTCCCTCATGTCCTGGCACAGGGAACCTCATGCTGCATTCTGGCTGGCCCCAACTCTCTTCTCTTCTTGTCATCCATACTCGTCTCAAGATTTCAGTGCCCGGATGCTCTGAAATCATTTCTTTTCTCATTGCACCATCACATAACCAAACCTCCTATCACCTAACTTCAGTGATTTCTGCTCAGTACTGCAGGACAGACAGCAACGTGACACATGAAATTAAAGGAATTCATGCCAGGGTGTTCATGATAGATCAAAATGCTTCCCATCCCCTCCTCACCCTTACACCCACACAAGGAAATCTGTAACTCTCCCAAAGACACTCACTGTTTAAATAGGCAAATGAATGAATACCTGAAATCCGGAAATGTGACTAGGTAATTAGTGGAAGGCGAGGCACAGTGATGAGGTGGAAAATGCTGAGCAGTTGGTGTGGTGGGAAGCCTTCCTGATGCCCTCAAATCACACTGCCTGTGCTGGGGCTGCTCCATGTCAGTCTCACCCAGTGGCAAGGATCCATTAGAGAGCATCTATCTGCCAGTGTTAAAAACATCGGTTCTGGGGCAGGCTCAATGGGATGATAGATTAAAAGAGAAAAAGCCCCCCAAAGTGCAGGACTTTTTATGTTGGATGCCTGAAGTGCTCAGAACATTTTATAATTATGATCCTTTTGAATGTATTTAGAACAATTAAATCCCTTTTACATTAAAACCAAGAATCTGTGGACATCAAAGTTATCCACTCCATATATATGTACTACATTGGTTTTTAATCTGCGGTGGGGCTGTTTCTGCAAATCAGTCCTTACTTCCTCACCTTTTCAGTCTCTAATCTGGTTATAACCTTCTGTTATTTTCATTCTTCCCAGAAGGGGTAGAGCCTGTTTCTCTTTTCTCTCCCTCGCTGAGGTGTGAGTCGCGAGTGTTTATTTTTGCCTCAGAGTTGACGGATAGTTTTTAAGATTTAATCCTTTTCTTTACTTTCCTTACATTTCCATTTAAAATTACTCTTGCGTTCACGGCCAGGCGGAAAGCCATGTTTGTTTGCATTTTGAAGGTCCAAAAGAGGACCCGGCTCTTCTTGGCTGCTCTTGGTACGGCTGGACACTGCCATTTACTGAGAAGGCCAGCGCGCCCTGGAGTGAATGAGTGACTTGCCGCGGTCTGGGCGTCCCAGCCCTCCCGGCGGCGAGTTAGATTTAACAGGAGGCGGTCAGGATTCCGCCCTCCGGGAGAGGCGGGGGTCCTGTGGCCAGAGGCCGGCCTCCTCCCCGTCGATCAGCCCGGACCCCGCTGGTTGAGTTCTGGCCTCCGGGGACGGTGACCGTGGACGGGGTCGCCAGCGCTGCCCGACCTTCTCTTCGACGCCCAGAGCGGGAGCCTCTGTACCCCCGCCCTCCGCACCAGCCAGCTTCATCCAGTCGCATGTGAAGTGGGCCCCCCCTCAGCAATTACGAGCAGCTTTGGGGGCTGGTCGAGAAGCCCCCATCACTGCGAGTGGGACAGCCGGGGCAGGGCTCCGTCCGGCGAGGAGCGCGGGCAGGTGACGGAAAAGCCCTGCGAGAGGCTGGAGGTGAGCCGGGACGCGGGGGCGGGCCCGGGAGCGGAGGGGTCGGGGGCAAGTGGGCGGGGCTGGAGGTGAG